CACAGCTGACATTTATCTCTAAAAGGGTTGATTCCAGTGTGAAATCAGATAACTTTTCCAATCCCATCAATGTTCAGTCATGGTGAAATAAGTCTTCTCTAGACATCTACATCGATAACATAACCTATCATTATTTTGCTATATTGCTCTAAGATTTATAACACCCCTTGGTAGCTTGTGTGGGTCTGTCACACCATCATTTCTGGAACTTTCATATGCTTTTCTGCTCGGTCCACAAGACAGTGGTGCCAAGCCTGGTGAAGACCTCCAAGAGTTAAAAGGTAGCATCTGTTTGTGATTCATTTTAGTGAACTAATAAATGTATCATCTATCTTCAGATTGAGTACAAGGACAGTATGACTTTTATTTTCTTTTTCTATTCCAAAAAAGCAATTTTTCCACATTCTGGGTGAGCTTATTGCAGTCCTACAATCTGCTATTATCCAGCACACCATGGATCCATGATAGAATTTGGAGGCAGTACTTTTGGGTGTACATGTGTAAGAATCCACCAACCACCATGGTTAGTGACCATGCTGGCTGGGGGCATTTTGTAAGTCTAAAAAAGTAATGTGTCCAAGCTCTGCCCTGTGGAATTGAATCTTAGGAATTTAAAATGACAGGCTCCAAGCCACCCTAGTGCTGCTGATCAGTAAGATCAGGCTTAAAGAGATGAGATAGTGATAAGATTTTTAAAAAGTCAACCTTGGCAGGGGCTGTTTAGTACTTACACACAGATGCTATCGGCTGTTACCCGTCTTGCATGCAAACATATGGCACACTGTATTCGTGAAGGCTTTCATGGCTGGGATCTAATAGTTGTTGTGGTTTTTTTCGGGCTCTCTGGCCGTGTTCTGAAGGTTGTTCTTCCTAACGTTTCGCCAGTCTCTGTGGCCGGCATCAAAAAAACCACAACAACCATATGGCACACTCACACTTGTTTGGACTGGGACCTTGGATTCTACTCAGTAATATTTGTTTTTCTACTGGAAGCCATTCTTTCAATAGAGGAGCAGATTCTTATTGTTTGAATGTGCAATGTACGAAGCTGTATCCACGAGCCATATAAGGTGGTTCAACCCACAGAGGTTTAACAAAGCCTGCATGTCCCTGCATGTTCATCCACATCTTTCCAGACTAGAAAAATTGTGCTGATATGTGTTATGAGCCATGAAATCTGATCCATCTAATAGCGACCCTGGTAGGGTTTTCAAGGTAAGTAAGATTTTTTAGACATGGTTTTACCAGTGATTTGCCATGGCTCAGTTGGGATTTGAATACAGGGCTCCTGGAGTTTAGCCTATCACTGTTTGGAAATATGGTAGACAGAGAGATCTCAAGTACATGCAGGGCCACAAGGTATATTTGGTGGCCTGAGTTTGGCTCATTGGACCATAGGATATGTCGGTCAGTAGTACACGTACGCAGCCGTATGCCATCTCTTTCCCTGAAATTTAATGGTGCCTTCTCATAGTTGTTTTTATGTTGT